CGGTAACACTAATGGAAGACGAGTATCATGACTACTCGACAGAGAGAGTATCAGAGTTAGAAATACTACGTCTACAAAATTTTTACGTGAATTTATTATGGAAATACCTAACCCATTATCTAGGCGATATAGAAACAGTTCATATTTTATCACAATTCGTTGGTATATTGCTTATGACGATGGAAATCGGATACGCTATTGATCAACGACTTCACAACAAACATAACTTGAGCGAAATTATCCATGTAATACGAAATTTGTCTGTACGATTTTAACAATACAAAATCTTGTTTTTTTAACATTTATGTTCTCAGTAAATTTTATAGTTGTTGTATATAACCACATATAAACTGATTGAATTCAATTTCAAACTTATCCATTTTTTTAACCTTGTCACAAATGAAATTGAGACGATACTTATCAGACTTCCGTATGGGACGCGGAACGGTTTTTGATTTTTATCCCGAGAACCAGAGTGCTACTAGGGAGACTGATCACTGATAGGAAACGAATACATAATTCTTAATAATAATATCAGTACTGTACTCTTAATCCGATCAGTCGATAAAAATGAACAAGTAGATGAAACTGCGCTGAACTCAGTATTCTTTTTTTGTTTATTAACAGTTGTTTGTTTGTTATAGTTCATTTTGTCGAATAGTTTTTCCCATGTTCTCCATCGCAGTCATTACATCCAATTTTATGTGTCACTTCTGAAATTTGTCGTATAATAGTTGTCGGAAATATCGTTTAATAGTATCAGGATTGTAGATTATTCTTACAATGTAAACCATATTCCGATCGGCATATTCGTCTTTCTGCCAATTGGCTTTCAAGATTTGACTTGATGTTCATCTTCCTCGATGTATTCAGTTGCTTTAGTTACACATAAAGTGGCGGACAAAAGTTTAAGATCACTTTTATTTCTGGATTTTCTTGTGAACGAAAGTAGTTAGACGATATCTGACGACAAATTTGTGTAGAGAGCACCTTGGAGTAACTAGAAACATAATTAAAAAATTTTAATCTAAATTTTAAAATAAAACAATGAATTTTTAAAACGCCTAAGATTTTCAAAATTTTCAAAACTAATTAAACGTCGTTTTTGATCATTTAGCAAGGTAAAGCAGACTTTCCTTATCAAAATGAGACGTTCCGCATATTTCTGCGCTCTTTTTTGATCGAGTTATGACGTTTTCCCCAAAACCACCGGACAGAAAAAACCCAGCAAATTTGCTAAAAGAAAGCGTTTTTTAGCGCAAAAGAAAAGACGTTAGTGCTTTCCGGGGAAACTTCATAACTCAATCCGAAATCTGCGGAACGTCTCATTTTGATAAGAAAAGTCTGCTTTATTTTGCTGAATGATCAAAATTTCACTGAATGTCGCTGTTTTATGCGTGTTTCGAGTAAGAGAATATGTCAAGATGTTTCGAGAAAATGTTAGAAATACCCAGTAAAAAAGTTACTTTCTCTGTCTCTCTCATTCTTTCTCATCCTTTGCATGATATCTGTGTTCTTTCACATAGAAGGTCGACGCGACTCCTGGAAGAAGGGAATCTCAACTTCGGCAAAGTGCTTAGTCGCCATGACTACTGAGAATCGTTGCACTCCTTGATCAAGCATCTTTTGACTGTACTCACTTGTCAGTGTTTCTGCTGGTTGAGCAGCGATGTCAGTGACAAATATCTTGGTTTTTTTAGCTGTCTTTATCCTGCGGTTCCAAAAAGGTATTAGCACAAAAGTATTATAAACCAAAAAAAGTACTATGTGGAAACAGATGTTTAACATCTTTCTGTGTCTGATACTCTCTGCAGACGAGAAGATTTTATCTGTATGATTACCAGACATTTGGGTGTCGACGTTTGGGCGCGCGCGACATTTGGGCATTTCACTCTCGCCTGCAGAAAGTGAAGACAGGAAAACATTCATCTTTAGCTGCCGGCTGCCAGTGGAAAAAAATTTTCATTCACCTGAAAACTGCAACCTTTCATGCAAATTGTTTCGGATCATCGTCAAGTATAGTCTTCAGAAAATAATTTGGTATCTGGATCGATCGATTTGTTTTATCTGTTGAGGTTAAGGTCACCTTCAAAATAAGTCCTATGTTTTGGTAGAAAAAATTAATCTTTTTTTTGTCTGATGCGATCTCTAAACAGAGAGAGACACTTTATAACTCATTAAAGTCTATATATAGTCAAAAATACATTGATAAACAGAATTATGATTTTTACTGAGCAGTTGGTAGAATTAGATAATAAAAGCCTGATATCGAAAGTTGTCCAATTTAAGTGGAATAATGAAATGAGATCATGAAGAAGAAATTTCTTCTGGTCAGCTGAGAAAGATTGTAAAATGTAAGAAATTGTAAATACATTTTCTTACATTTCCCATCTTCATTAGATGTCTAATGATAAAAGAAAGAGAAAAAGATAAGACAAGGATAGTGAATTGTAACTGCTGATAGAGTCTATAACTATCAGTGTATAATACAGACTGATAGTGGTCAGTAGAAAAAGACATTGTTATATCTCGTTTTAGGGTCCACATGCAAGGCAGGGCAGTGCAGAAGTTTTTATCCACACTCCCTGCCTGTGCAGGACAAAAGTTTTTTTTCTAATCTGCAAACTGCAGCGCGGGTAAATTTTATTTTGCCCTTGTGCAGTGGTCAAAAATTATGCAAGTGATCAGCTCTGATCGAAAGACACGTACATAATCAATTTCGCTTAGTTAAATACGAATAAAAAGAAGAGTAAATACAATATAAATTCAAAGAAATCGATAAATGTTGATATGTCAGAGAAAGCGTGATCGAAACTTAATTCTTGTGAAGTGTCGGAAAGCGCAGTCAAAGAAAAAAAAGATTTTAGTTATTATGTGTTGAAGAAACAGTCGACACTATAGTCAATTTAATTTAAATACGTGTATGGTCCGAATTTTGGTAGTAACGATTAAATTTAAAAATATGTGGCGATGTCACATATTGTACGTCAGACAAGTTGTCACAACTTCTTCCATGCAAAGAAATACGATCGTTCAAATTGAACGCAATTTGTCAATAATCTTAAACATTTAGGATCACATCTCAAGAAATCGCTAGATTGGTCTTTGCACTGTATGGAAGTTATAAAAAAATTGTAACTATGTTTTGTATCTTATACGCAGATATCAGCACGTATCAAGTACATCAAACCTTCAAATCATATTTATTACCAGTAGTAACGTATGCTGATGTAGTTGAGCCATGCTTAAAAGAATTACATTCAAAACTAAATTGTCTGTCTTACTTGAGACCGATTCTTGATCTACCGTATAATGTTATAGTATCAGACAGCTGAACTGTTAGTTTATTGCACGATTGCGTCTGATGGGAGCCCTGCTGTCGCTATTGTACCGTTGTTTGCTCAAATTTTAACGAAAACTGGCTCTGCCTAGGATCACAGAAGATATGAATAGTTTATAACAGTCAGCATAGTTATGCGCATATATATTCCCTATAAGTTCCAAAGAGAGAGAGAGGACTTAAAATACTTAGTTGCATTTCAATTGAATATATAGTTACTCTAAATAAAATTTTACTTTTCGTTAAAATAAACAGACTTTCCGTGCTGGATGAACCATATAAGCAGTAGTAAACAAGAGCATTCCTCCTTAGTTAATCTACCTTCCTGACCGATTCTATCTACACTGTCGCTGAAACGTTATATTGCTAAAAATCTCGTTTGGACTACCAGTTGGTTTTATATGAAATGATCCAATAATTGCAGAAGTTTCGTCGCTATCCTATATAAGATTTTAGATATCAGACACAGAAATATGTTAAACATCTGTTTCCGCATAGTACTCTTTTTTTGGTTATTCAGGCGAGTTACCGACTAGTCTACACGTCGGAAAAGAAAGTTCGACTAGTCGAAAACATGAACTAGTCGATAGATAGGCCCAAAATGGCACTTTGACCTCCGACTAGCGATAAAAAGTCAGAATCGACTAGTCTTTTTACTAGTCGAACGTCGGCATGGGTATTCATGCTTAAATATTCTTGGTTTACTAATAAGCTGTTCTTTCAATGAAAAAGGGAGTGTTCTTACTGAGTAGAATTGATTTTCATATCGTGATTTAAAATTGATTATTTATGTCTACTTGTGTCTCCGTCTGATAAAATATCAAGGTAGAAAAAGCACCACTTCACTACTTCACTTTACTTGAAGTGAACTGGAAGTGATTTTCAAGTGTCCATGAAGTGAACTAGTAAAGTGGAAATGACGAACATAGAGATGAGTAAATAAATTAGAGAGATGTTAATCGATGTATTTTTGCTCAGTGTCTGGAGACAAGCAAAGTTTAAGCGCTAGAGATTAATTAGGGTTAATTCATCTTACATGCATGTAATCAATAAAACTGAGAGCTATGCAATAAATAGATTTGTCAGACATACAAAAAATCGGAAAAATCCAATGAAATAACAATGTCACAAATTTACTTGGCTAGAAGTGAAGTGACGAAGTGATACTTTTCCTTTCCTTGTAAAATATGCACTATTGAACGAAAAAAATCTCGTTCTAATCATCCATCGAATGTTTTTAAAAACATTGGGATTTGTCTTCTTATTTATTTTTTGAAGTCTTTTACAGTTGTTGAAATTTTTGGATGATTTGTTCGAATATCATTGCGCTTTTATGTTTTTTTCTTAAGTCTAACAAAACTTAGTTCTTGCTTTGTTATATAAAAAAGTTTCAGAGAACAATAACAAAAAAAGAATCAACAAAACAAATAATAACAAACAACTAAAAAAGAAAAATATAGAAGAACCAACAAACAAAAAACATGTTAAAGTATATTGAACGAATGGAACATTTTCGCATAAAAGCTCTCATAAAAGCTAAAAATCAATAATACGTATAATGAATGTATCACCCACCAGAACAAAGATAAATAAATAAAATTTTGACCATCACCAATCAAAAATAAAAAAAAAGACGAAAATAATTTAATAACATCAACAACTAAATTCCTCTTTCAAATTCAACGGGGGTTTCGAGTTTAAACGGATGTGCTTCTGTATTAAATACATATTTACTTAAAGATATAACAGAATCTTCGCTATAAATTAAATATAAATATTTTAAAGTTTCAGCTAAATAAAAACTTTGTTGTACATCGTCTTGACTCGGTGAAATAGTGTAAACATTATGTATGCCCGTATAACCACCATCAACGCGACAATATTTTTCTAGACTCTAAATCAAATAAAAAATATACAAATTATTAATAATTTAACGTTCGTATATTTACAATGATGGCATCCCATGCCCAATCTCTATAGATTTGTTCATGTGTTAAACGCCATAGATAAAACCATGTTTCAATCGCTTCTGGTCTTAGAATATAATATTTTTCATTATCACGTAATGATTTTGCTTCAACATCTTGACGTTCAAAATGAAATGTTTCTGGACCAAGTCGTGTGTCTAAAATATTATAATAATAAGTTATGTTTATTAGTATTCAAAAAAAAAAAGAATAATAATAAAATTCAATGTATCATTTACCTGATCGAATGTAGGCTTCTCGACATGTTTGTGCTATACCTTTTGCTATATCCATTTGATATTTTGAATCATTGTTTGAAATATGTTGCGATGATAAGCCATACAAACCACCTAAAAACATCATTTTAATATTAATATGTCGATTCAATAGGTAATACTCGACTTACCAACAAAACATGTTAAATGACCCATTTGTAAATCTAAACGTTCTGATCGTTGTTCACCAAAATATAATAAATTTGTTGTTGGTGTTTTACGTAACATTGATTCTTCAGCTGCCTAAATAATATACAAGAAATTAGCAGAAAAGAATTTTTAACGGATAATTTCGAAATAATAAAGATATGTTTGTGTTTTTTTTTCTTTTAGACAAATTAAAATAAAGTCTGAACAATGATAGAGAATTTCTTATCTAATAAAATATAATAGTTTTTAGACTAAACTGTTTTCTCATTGGGAAAAATCCTAAAGAGTAAAGTCATGGATGAGGGCCTACTACAATCTCATATAAATAATTCTATGGTGGTTAAATGGCGAACAATCTAATTGAGTACTGAGAAACTGAAAGATTTTTATATGTTTTAAAATATTCAGTGATGTTTGATGTGATCACAATAGCACAACCCTTTGGATCTTTAGTTCGACCGAGACTTTCAGTTAGGAACAAGAGATGTCAATTAACAATTTGATCAATATAAAAAATGGAAACGTCGATCGAGCATACCCATTGAATAAACAATGATATGCAGGATCAATACTGAACAACAATGATACGTATTTACGATACAACTGATGTACTCTTGCTTTCCTCGTTGTGTGATCTTACGAGGAAACCTCCCGAAGTGATACACCCTGATTTTCTTCAAACCTGGTTATTTATACGTAATCAAGGGCGCTGATTACGAATATGATAGCCGTTTGTGTCCATAGGCCTTTCCTAGCGCCTTTCTGGAAAACCGGTTTCTAGAAATCCCCTGAAACAACAGTAATGTTTTTTCAGCCTATTGGAATAGTAGCCCATAAATTTTGCATAAAATGAGACGTCTCCCAGCTCTTCACGATCTTTCTTTGCAAAGTTACAGAATTTATAAGAAAAGTCCTAAATTAATTTTTCTTTTTCTTTCTGTAGGTTTGAGCTGACAACGAACATTTAGGACTTTTCTTATAAATTCTGTAACTTTGCAAAGAAAGATCGTGAAGAGCTGGGAGGCGTCTCATTTTATGCAAAATTTATGGGCTACAATTCCGATAGGCTTAAAAAACATTACTGTTGTTTCAGGGGATTTCTAGAAAACCGGTTTTCCAGAGAGGCGCTATGAAAGGTCTAGGGTATCGCTTCGGGAGGTTCCCTCGTTAGTAAGATCTCCTACATGGCTTTTACGGCGTAGTCACGTAACTTTGCTACAAGAAAATATCAACATTTCGTGGCGGAAAGTCATCCCGGTAGCAGAGCTACATGACCACGTCGTTCACGCTCTTTATGATCTTTCTCATGGAAACAACTTACTCAGAAAAAAATTATCATATTTTGTAAACACTCTCTATCGTTTCTCACTAGAACAGTGTCCTCAAACTTTATTGCAACTTGAAAACCAAACATGTCCCATTACTTCGGCGTCACTCGTTATATATATATACTATTATTAGATTTACTTTCATTGAATTCTGAAACATTGTTCTTGCTCGTTCATCGGTTTTACCCGATAATAACCAACTTTTTAACAAATATTCGTAAAAACTATCACCCATCGCACCAAGTGAGGCATATTCTAAACAAATAAAACAAGAATATTTTTTTTAAATAGCATACATAATGATTGAAATGAATACAACAAATCCGTAGATAAAAATGCAACTTCTCTCACAAATACTATAACATTTGAACATTACAGTATTTTGTCTTGATGAGTTCAGTTTATAAATCTTATTTTTTCTTACTTTGACACCATTTTCCTGTGGATGAACTAATATAATTATAATACATATGATTTTCAGCTGCTTCTTGTAATACTGTACGAACTTTTTCTACCTAAACAGGCAACTATGTACTTACTAAATTATATTACTAATATATACTATTGAGATTGACTCACTATTTCTCGATAAATTTTTTTTCCTGATAATTGTGTTAAATATTGAAATTCCAGATGCATCGTACCTAACTCTGATAATATTGAACATTGACCTGGTGCCCAAATCCAATTATTAGATGAACCACTAGAAGTAATATGTTAACAAAATAAAGTGTAAATAGATGGAGTAATAGACTTACGTTGAGAGTATAATCAATGAATTAGGAATACCCGTTGGAGTGTTAAATGCTGGTAATAAACGATCAGCAACAAGAATTGCTTTATCTAAAAACATCTGAATAAAAATATGGATAGAGTTAAGTAGAAGAACTATCGAAACATAAACATAAATAGTATTTTGATCTCCAAATGACAGAATTAACAACTACAGTATCTAACTTTGTAAATTTGAATTATTCTTGCCTTATCGTTTGTTAATGTATAACTGGCAAGTAGTCCACCAACCAGTCGAATATTGATTTCAAATACTGACACTTGACTTGTCTAAAACAAATATAAAAATATATAAATAAACTAGTACGAATATTGCAAAGGCATAGTCTATGTAACACAAGAATATCTTCTATACGGTAAAATATGTTTAATTGTACTGGCAGAAGAACGTGAAGCACTAATCCTATCACTAGTGCAGCTCGGTGAATTTCAATGAAAAAATATCATTGAAATTTCAATTAACAGAAGAGAAATTTGAAATATTCTTAGACAAAATCCGATTTCGTTCGTTCATACGTTGATCGATAGAAGATATCGAACTAGTAAAAAGCCTAAAAGGATTTTTCCCCATGGCTCCTGAAGATTCGGTTTACTGGAAAACTAGTTTTTCAGAAATTCTAAAAAATAACTAAAACCTTTCTTGATGATGCATAATTGTAGTCCGCACATTTCTGATTAAAATGAGACATCTCCCAGCTCTACACGACCTTTCTTTGTAAAGTTATACAATTTACAAGAAAAGCCCTAAATTAATTTCTTCTTATTTCTGTAGTGAGCTGACAATGAACATTTAGGGCTTTTCTTGTAAATTGTATAACTTTGCAAAGAAAGGTCGTGTAGAGCTGTGAGATGGCTCATTTTAATCAGAAATGTGCGGGCTACAATTATGCCTCATTATGAAAGGTTTTAGTTAGTTTTTTAGAGTTTCTGAAAAACTAGTTTTCCAATAAACCGAATCTTCAAGAGCCATGGGGGAAAATCCTTTTAGGCTTTTTACTAGTTCGATATCCTCTATCGACCGACGTATGAACGAACGAAATCGGAAGGTATCACTTGGATAGGTTTCCTCGATAGAACTTTCGAATGGATGTAGATAAATGTTTGGACTCTACTTGGATTTTGCTTATGTGACATTTTTATAAAAAAAGATTTTGTGGACCACATAAAAGAGATGATATTGTTTTAATAGCATATTCAGATAGACGGTACAGCATACATTCAGTTTTCAGATGTTTTCTCTTTTGAGCGGGCTTTTAGGGGAAAAATGGGTTAGAGTTTTTAGGAAACATAGCAAACTTTACGACTTTCGTGTATCCTTGATTTTATTAGGATTCCATAGAATTTGTTAGAATCCTAAAAACACCCTAAGCAAAATCTTAATAGGATTCTAGTACAATATGTCTAGGATTCTGTCAGAAAATCCGTCCGTCTCTTGTTTTTTTTTGTGTTTTGATGTTTTCATCAGCTGTTCTAGAACCGTCATCCTATTTGTCATCGTAGTGGGAGATATCAGGGACAGAAGAGAAATAATAAGAACTTAACTATAGTATCATAACAATATCCAGTGGTAGATCTAGAAAAGTTTTTCGATGGGTATGTAGGATTCCGATCGCACCGTATCTGTCGTAGATCTACCATTAGCAATATCAGATCTGAAACAATAGTGTCTTAACTAAATGTAGTCGAATAAATGAGATACATTCAAAAGATATATTTACCACGTTTGGATTAAATTGTTTTTCAATCCAATTTCTTGCTTTCCGATATTCTACATCTAACTTGGCTATATAAAGTGTATCGATTGAATCGATGATCGTTATACCTAAACTCTGGTTTCCAAAAATATCTGTTGTATGAGTTTGTTTTGATATTGGACGATATTCATTTGCACCCCATGCATATTTTGCATAATTTGTAAATGAATGGTACAGCATCTAAATAGAAAACAACTAACGGTTAATCTGAGCAAATAAATACAAATCGTTTTCCTGATTTTAAAGCAGTATTCTTCCTATATGGATTTATTTATATTTTCATTTATTAATATTAATACACTAGTAAAATATAGAAGTTTGTAAAACATATAATAGTTATTATTTTACAGTTATATTAACGAATATTATTCTGATAGGATTTTTTGGTATTATTGTATGAGAATCAATACATATTACTTAGTATTATATTGATACAGTACCATGAAAAATTATAAGATCGTTTCCGGTCTTCAACTTTTTCAATCTTATCGGGTACAGTAATGTATTTTCGTTTTTAGAATATGCCGTGAAAATTTTAACGGATAGCCCAGAATAAATGTCCCATTCAGTAGTTTCTTAATATCTCTGTCAGAGTTGATTGCCAAGTCTATCTCACAGTTAGTACAAAGAAAAAGTATTTATTTATAATTATAAAATACAATAAAAATAAAAAAATATAGAAGAAATATGGGGAAGTTTCAAAATCGATTACTTTCAAACCCCCAAAAAAACAGTTTTTTCAATGTCAGTCCCTTATATTATGTGATATGAAAAAAGAGAAAATCGCCATTTTGTAGTTCTCGAAAAGCTTTATCAACTGGCTATATTTAAGACTTTTCATAGGCTCCAGTGGACGCAGGAGGATCGTCTGACCGCTTTTCTTTTAGCAATTTTGCCCAAAATCATCATTTTCTAACTGCAGTTTTGAGGCACTTAGGAAAATTTGTATGATCTGGTCAAAACCACACATTATGACGTCGGGTCTAGTTTATCTTAAAGCAAAATAATTCTTCTGCTACATCCGAACAGAGAAAGCCGAATAGCCCCATTTCGTTTCTTGTGCCAAGGCGAAGACATCAACTTTTCCTACTTTTTTTTACTTTTAGTAAAATCTTCGTTCGAAGCAGAAATAAGGTTTGTAGCAAACTTATGATACAAGAAAAGAAAGGTGATATTCCATAGCACCAGAAAATATATTCGATTCTACTTTGATGCATAGCATCGTGTTCAAAATAAATATATTTTGGTTTTTCTTCGAGTCTGAAAGTAATCGATATTGAAGCTGTCCTATATTTTCTCTATAGTTTTTTATTTTTATATAAAATGTACGTAACTTCTCAAAAGAGATACAAAGCTGTCCTAATTGACATTGCAAGATCAAACAACATCAAAGGGGGGAGGTGAAACTGAATGTGAATTTGCAAAAAAAGAAGCCAAAATGTACAATATGTTTTGTGTAGAGAATTGAATGAGGAGTCTTTTAAAAAAAGGATTGAGACTTGGCGATCAATCTGAGGAAATATTGAATGAGACATTTATTCTGTACCACCCGTTATATTTCTTTCGTTCTTTCATATTATTATGATGAAGACAAAGTTTTCTGTGTAATTATTATACAGTTCTAACGCCACTGTCAAAAAGATTCTTCGATGCACAAGTATAAGAGATCATACTGAATGATGTCATAATTTTTCATACAAAAAAATAAGCGATACTTTTCCATAAAAATACGGAATGACGAAAAATGCTGATTTCACCGTTAATTAAACTTGATTTTATTTTCGCATAATATTGTCGCTGCAAGAAGCCTCAGTTTTCTGTATAATCATGTTGTTTGCAAAAAAGTTTGCAAACGAATCCAGACACAGCAAGTTGAGCAATTTCAATGAAGTTTTTTATATATACTCCACTAAACTAACAACTCTTTCTCAGTTTCTTTTTCTTGGTGTTCAAATTGCTTTTTATATTTCTTTTTATCTCACACAGTGGATGAAAAACAACAAAAATACAGGAATAATTGTGGAAATCACTGTATAAAATAATGAAACTTACATCCATATTTAAAGTACTACTCTCATTCGTTAATGAACTTTATCGTTCGCTGAGAGCTTCAAATTCACGACTTTTACTACGTTTAATTTAATCAATCTATTATCTATAATAGATCTTGTATTGACTTCGGACTACAGAGTGATTTAATCATTGGTGGTCAAGAAAAGCGTTGAGAATATATTTCTTTCAATAAAGTCTATTTTCTCATAGACATTTCTTTGTCATATTGTTCTGTTGATCTCATTATAGTATTTTGTTTAAATTAGCTTTATTATCTTGGATAACGAGAGAGAAAGAGAGAGAACAGATAAATTTTAAAAAAAACAAACAAGAAAAAACAGTTGTTAAATAACATAGTTGTAAGTAAAAGCTCAACAAACACTAAGATTTGTAAAAACCACACACATATAAAACGATTTAGAAATGTACCACAAACGAAAGACTAAAAGGGATAGAGAGACACTGAAAAGAAACAAACTAAAAACAATTTTAAAATAATTGAAAAATAATTTTAGACAATTACTCAAAGTTGAAAAACTAACAGCAAATTTTAAACTTAATAAGATACATGGTGATGATGATGACAAAAATAATGTAATTTTTCTCAATTCCATCTATCGATATTGAATTGAGCATCCAGACTTGTGACAGGATGTAAATGCGGTTTAAAGACGTCTTTTATGTCCGGACAACACTCACCTTACTCAATACAACATCAATATGGAACAGTAACAATAATAAATAAAAAAAAAAGAATACACCACACACACCAATCATAACCTGATTTTAAGTTTCATACCAACACATTAAGAGTGACAAACGAAGTCAAAGATCTCATTAAAAATAAAATTTACTGTAAATTCAATAAACTGAGGAAAAAAAATGGAAAAATTTTTTAGAATCTTTGAGTGATCACTTACCAACATTTGTTGTTTAACAACGACAGGAATCAGACAGTAAGGAGAAGAGTTTTTGTTTGGACGAATTAAATACGAATAAGAATAAAAAACGAAGAGTATATATGTTTGTTGTACATAACGATAATGATGAGTTCAAAATGCTGGCATATAACCAATATGAGAGCCATAACCACCACCGAATTGATATTCTGGTGCATAACTTTGATACGCATTGAATGCGCCTTGTGCTTGTGCCAAAGCAGCAGCTTGCATTGGATCAGTGGCACCATAAGGACTCATCATCATCGGTTGTTGCATAGCTGGACCATATGGTGATGCGGCAAATTGTGGTGCACCATTCAGAATACCCGCTTGTTGTGCTGCTTGCATTGGAAGTGTAATTGGTGGAAGAACACCACCAAATACGGGTGGCATGCCGTTAGCATTTGCCCCTTGTAACATGTACTGTTGTAACATTGGTTGCATTTGCATCATGGCTGCTTGTTGTGCTTGTGCCATTGCTGATGGTGGTAACATCATACCCATATCACCCATGGCTGGTGTATAAAGATTTTTATATTTTCCATATTTACTAACTTTTTGTTGTCCATAACCTTGAAAATCACGTTCACTCGGATAACCGTAACCATTTCCACCGTAGTAACCACCGCCACCACTTAAATAAGGTGATGGTGGTGTTTGTGGTAGAGCTGGTGGACCATATGGACCTTGTGGTGGTACAAATGGACTTCTTCCGGACGGATAATTTTTTGACGAATATTTGTAATAATCATCTTTTTCAACTTTTTCCTGTTTATCTCGTTTATTACTACCAAATAAACCCATGTTGTTTAATTTAATAAAATATATATATATATATGTGTATATAAAAATTGGTGAGTGTTGATGGTGTTGTTGAATAAAAGAACGTCGTCCGACTTCAACGGATTTTATTTAAAATGAATTAAAAATGTAGAAATAGTTTGGACAAAAAAAAATAGAAGAGAGAAGATAGAATATTGGACGAAAAATCCCTGTATCTGACCGCGGAGAGTGTATTGAAAAGGTCACCACCGTTCGAAAAATTGAACCTAGTCTCTGTCTCTGTCTTTCTCTCTCTCTTCATTTATATACACCTTTGGTTGCGCTTCAATGACTCGTCGTATAATCATAAATGATGAACGAAAAAAAGAAAAACGAACTGTTCATTTTATATCTTTCTTGTTGGATATGGTTTATCAATGAAAGATGGATAGATAGATATTTCTAAACAATGGTTTAAAGAGATACAAAGAAGAGTACATATTTTATCGTGATAAAAAAATCTATAAAATTGCATCATTACTCATCGTGTTAATAACCAGGTTAACACGAAGAAAATGATGATTTTCTTTGTATTAATCGTGCACACACACATACACACAGAGAGAAATCGAACCTCATCGATTTTTCTAGTTAATACGAGATAAAATAGTTCTCGGGAAATTGAGAAACTGTCACGATTATCATTATTGAATAATACATTAGAGAGACCAATTGCAACTGATAGTCGAAGATGTCTATACGTTTTTTTTTCTTCTGATATTTATTAACTAAGTACATAGACAGATAAATTATCATGTAATTTACAATAGTCTCAGCTAGAGGTGTGCAGGATGACACTACCCTACCATATCCTGTCCTACTAGGGTAGGGTAGGGTGCAAACTTTATAGGGTGTGGTAGATTAAAGGTACGAAACATTTTTATAGGGTAGGGCACAGGGTGAGACGTTTGTCATAGTTTGTACCCTATCAGATAAAGAACGCTTAGTATTGAAAGACATTCGCTCCTTTAGTGGTGCATGACTTCGTTATCGATCAGAGAGGATCTATGCCTGTTGTTATTGGATGTGGATGTGGAGTTTTTGAATAAAACTGTACCTAAAAAAACGAATATCGATCGCTGAACGAATGATCCCTATTTTACTCCTACTTTCTTATGTGTAGGTGTAGGGTAGGGTGTAGGGTCCAAACTGTCTAAAGTCAACAGGGTAGGGTGGGGCAGGGTGTGAAAGCTAATAGGGTAGGATAGGGTAGAGTATGATTAATTTCTATAGGGTAGGGTACAGGATACAAAAACCCAGGCATGGGCGAGCCCGAGCCGAGTCCAAGTTCTGAGCCCATTTCGAGTCCGGTAATCTTTTAGATTCTTTTTTGACGAGGGTGATTTATTTCTTTTTTAATTTACTGAGCCCTGGATAGATATTTGATTTTTCGAAAATAAAGTTACTTTGCATGTCTGTCTCCCGAACAAAATTTTCAATTTCTTGTGAAACAGAAAGTGTCGTTATTTCGCTTTTCATTTTTCTCTGTTTATTTGTGTTAAAACTTGAATAGATCAGACTCGAAATACAAAAACTCAAGTCCGAGTTCGAATTCTTCAAAAAAATTTTCAATCCAAGTCCGAGTCCGTCAGAACATCTTCCAGTTCGGATTCGGACTCGCCCATGCCTGCAAAAAACTCGTACTCTGCACACCTCTAGTTTCAGCATATAGAGTCTAAAAGAAACTATTTAACACTTTTCCACTTCAATGTAGTATTGTTCTCTACAAAACGTAACAGCAAAAACTCGCACCTTTTAACTATCTATCTAACAAGAGTTCAACAAAGTTCATTTGTTTTAACGTAACGAGTATATCCGTTTTAGAGAATGATAAGAGTCACCATAGCGATTAGCTCTAACATAAAAAAACATGAAATATGATATTAAAGCATCTGGCTTAGGAGTTAATTAGTAAATTCATAGTATAAATTGACCTATTAAATTTTAACAATACTAAACAGTAGTTATGGATGCCCTTGGGAAATCAAACTACAATGAATAAACCAATTTTTATTTTTCTATTAAATTTTTTTTTTCTAACCGTAGTTTATTAGCAATATGTTTAAATTCTGTTTCTTCCTTGAAGTTAGAGATCTAAAATGAAAATTTTTCTAAACAAATCAGTCTCTTGAATTAACAAAATTGAACCGAATCATATTATTTCTAATAATGAAGTCGAACTTCTTCTTTTTTATTTTAAGGTTTTTTCTTTCTAAACTTTTTGCATAATCAATCATAGAATAAAATAAAATACAAGTGAAAATTTTGAATATAATCAAAATGTGGAAAATAAGCGTTAAATAGAAAGAAAAGTGTCATTTCTTCTCTCTCATTCATCACACTATACATACTATATTTATATTCAACCATAGAACAGAGTATAATTAACGATCAATCAAAATTCAACATGTTATGATGCAAGTTTTCATTTCAATCTTCAATAGAGTCCCACTCTGGATGGATAGATGGGATATATTCATTTATAAAAATTAAGGATATATATGTATATATGTATAGTTGTGTTGTGTGTGTGTGTGTGTGTGTGTGACAATGAACATGTTAAATGAAAGATGACATTCTCGGTTCGAAAACGATATTATCTTTAATCGTTAACGAGAAGAAGAAGAAGAAGAAGAAGAAGAAGAAAAAAAAAAATGAATCTTAATGGATATACATTAAAACCAATATTTCTTTCTCACCACACACATATTGATGTGATATTAAACAGATACAGATACACTTTTTTTTAGTTCACTTATATTGTCGATTGATAATGCGTTTTGTCGTACATACATTGGCTCACCATCAGTGTACAAAAGACAGTAAGAACTGACTGTTATCTAGACAAATCTTAAAATGATAATAATTTTCCTTCACTTTAACAAAAACAATATACTTCACAAAGACACTTTCATATGTATTTTTGATTATAAACCATTCTAAATAAAATTATTTCCATTACTGTAAATCATGTTCAAGAATTGAAGTTTTAAAATGATAAATAATAGAAATTTTATATTCTCAATTTTATTCTAATTTAAAATTAAAAATTTTTAAATAAAATAATAGAGTTCATCTATGGTAACATATTTCGGTTAAGATGGATGAAGAGTGCAGGTTAAATTGATCATTTTTTTGACGACTCAACTATTATCTAAGATAAAAATAGTGTTTTATCTATTATAAATTATTTATTCTAAGTAAAACATCATTAATCTTAACAAGATTCATTCTAGAAAATATTATACATCAAGCCAATAGAATAGAATAATAATAATAATAATAACTCGTTTGTACGTCTTAAAATGAGACATATTTCTATTGAACTGTAAGATAAAAAAAGTTTTTCTGTTTTCTTTTTCCTATCGTTCAATTAAATACTAACCTTCTCTATAGAAGATGACACGTGTTATTATTTTCTAGTGTCTCATCCTAGACGGTATATATCGATAATTACAGGTGTATAGAGTATAAAAAAAATAAAAAGAAGAGATGAACGAATAGGTGAGATATTGTTTAAATCACTTTTATAAATGAATCTCTACGTATAGAAAAGTCATTTTTAATTGATGTATAAAAAGAAAGCGACAATTGTGATTTAAAGAAAAAAGATGAGTCACAAAGTAACACATTTAAAATTGAATATATACCATCTTCATTAGACATATTTCCTATACATATCATTTTAAAAGATATGTGGCATTTATGAAAAATAAAGACAGATTTTCAATGTATCTCCTCCTCCCATATAAATTCAAAAAATATTTATGAATTTTAACTTACCTCTCGAACTTTTTCTCTTCTAAATCTTGGCGATTTAATTTTTTCTAACTTTTCAATAGACATTTTTCCAAATAATTGTGTTAAATTTTCAATAGAAAATGGTTGTTCACTATCGCCAATATCATTTGTATCATTCAATTTTGTTTGATCAATTTCATCTTCAATTATTGAACTTAATGTTGATGTTTTGGGTTTTAAATCTGGAGCATCTAATGTATCAACAATTTTTGCACGATCAATTTTTGCTTTTAATATCTCTTGTTGATCATGTAAATGTATAGAATGATTATGTTCATTCAAAATTCTACCCGATCTTAAATGAAGTGGCGGTTTTGGAATCGGTGGTACAAAAACGTCTTTAAAATCAGTTTTATGTCGTTTAATAATATCAGCAAAATCAACATTTTTTGTTGCATCAGGTAAATAATGACCAGCAAGAAGTGTTAAACATAAAAATATAATAATGACTAATACTATGAGTTGTGTAGTGTGTAAACGATATCGACGATTACCATGTAGAGTATTTGTCAATCGTAATAAGGGCTGAAAACGAGGCATTTAAGAGAAGATCTAAGATGATGAATGATGGAAGAGAAAGATAAAAATGTAAACATATAAGAATAATACATATAGAGCTGACCGATGAAATGGCTCACATTTGTAGATCTAGAAAATAATAATTATAAAATAAATGAGTATTTCAAAGGATAAAAAATTCTAAACTCTTATCAGTTAAAATGGTATTGATTCAAATTTTTTGACAATTTGTCACTCTGATAAACAATCATTAACACTAACTATTTTGAACTTTTTTCACCTGCATTTTTCAAAAAGATCATTAAAATGAACCATATAGAAGAATTTGTATACATATGAGTTTTCCTTTTCAAGTATAGCTTTTTGTACAACCATGACATAGACAAAACTTACAATAGTCAAAACAAATGGAAATTTTGATTTTGTAACTATGACTTGAAAACTATGTTAGATAAGAATTTTACTAATAATATCTGATATGTAAAATAGTGACGAGTATTTGGCATGCCATCTAAGATCTACATCATAGATCTTTTTTTTCTATAGTGTGTGCATTTGAGTCGGAATCTTTAGGGATGAAAATCTACATCATATGAAAAGATTATTTCAGATAAAGATTTCCACTGCAAATATACGTGTTAAAGTACAAAAAAGGCTTCATAACATGTCATTTTTTCTCAGTCTTCAAAACAGCTTTATAGTGGATTTGTTTAACTACTAGATTTACGACCATTCTTTTGAATTTAACTTTTCTTTTCTTTTTTTATATTTGCCAACACTGAAGACCGTTAAGGTCCTAACAGTACAAAAAAAAATAATTAAATAATTAATTGTAAATTTTAGACAATGAACAAAGAAGTAACAAGTAACATAATACAAAGTAGTGATTGTATAGTAATAGTTATTCCATTTACACAACCTAGCAGCTACAAAAATACAAAGGATGTAAATAAATAATGAGTGTTTACAAGAACTCTTAACATTATATAATGAAAAAAAAGAAAAACGACAAAAAATAGTATCAGAAGGTTTCAGGGAATTCGCATAATAAACTCACATCGTTAATATCAAAACTTGGGACCGAATCATTAGAAGCGTTATCCGCACACCACAGTGCACATTTCTCGAGGACAGACTGGTGAGCTACAAATCTTTTTGATCTATGTAGACATCTAATTGCCTGTTCTTTAGAAAGCCAAGAACTTCTGTGAACATTTAAGGTCGCCTGTTCGAAAAGTAGCTCCCCGTTTGTAGACTCAGTTAACATCCGCCAATATTTGTCCCAATATCTAAAACACCTATCCTCAAGGGAAATCTCGTTGAGTGCATACGAACTTTTTCTCTTTTACACATACATTCAGTACAGTTTTTTTCTTGGAAAAAAAAGCGAACGAGAAAAATAATTGGACATAATTAATTGATTCATTTTAGTTCTGATTTTCAACTAAAAAAATTTGTTAGTACACAATGTACTTTTCTTAACAAATATGTACTGTACTGAATATCTAAAGTGTCAAAATCGTTGTCTAGTCATTGTTCGGTGTGCATAATTCAATTCTACTAGGAAATCATATTCACTTCTTATTCTATGATATGCTGTTCATTTGAATGTCTACGAAAAGGATCCATGCAACAACATTAGACGAGAAATAATATTCGATTTAAACAACTCTATCTTTAGCGTTTTTAAAAGATTCTTCTAAAAATTGTATACACAGTAAAAAGTAATTTATATTTTGAAAGTAAATAGCTTCAGCTATCTCAAAATCGCGTTTTGATAAAAAATGTTTTTTTTTGCGTATAACAAAAGCAGGGCTCTTAAAAGAGATCGTAAACAAATGTACATTAATCTTTCGAGAAACCTTTATGTCAGAATAATAAGTGCCCTAGGACACTTTTTCTGAGCTATGAATAGAACACTCTTAAAGCTGTCGCACTATAGCAGAGATGAGTGAATCTTTCCTTTTTTGAGTTCGAATCATGTTTTTTAACTGAAAGTCTGACCATTTTTAATGTATCGAATAAAGATAAGTGTCAGATGTTCATAAAATGATTTTATTATTGATGATGGATCGGTAGAAAAAGTAGAAGCTATCATAATAAGTATGATTTTGCAGAATCGTGTTGAATAATAGAAAATATTTAAATGTAGTGTGATACGAAGTGAGAAAGTAAATTCTTTCCTCTATGTAAGATGAAATAGTTCGTATTAGAGCAAAAAATCGGCTATTTCTAATAAGACGTTTGTCATAGACAACGATAATTTGTACGTGTAGAAAAGTGAAATTTGATATATTGTGCAGAACGAAGTAAAATATAACATTTAAAATAGACTTTTCATTTTTCATAATGGGCAATTTTTATACAGACTGCTCTGTAAAAAAAAGTCCGTTGCTTACAAAACGAATATTGGTTTTGGCATTTGCTCCTAATAAAAACCGATATCCATATCATACAGTTCTGCTTAACCGTTTCACAGAATACGCTTGAATGTATGTTTTGCCTTGTGAAGAAACGGATTTTAGTTTTGTAGCAAAGGAAAAAACATTCAGGCGTATTCTACGGTTAAGCAGGACTGTACGATACGGATATCGGTTTCTATTAGGAGCCAATGTCAAAACCGATATTCGTTTTGTTAGCCACGGATTTCTTTCAGAGAGTAGGATGGTTTAGTATTCTCAAATTCTTTGCGGTAAAAAGATTTATAAACTAGATGCCAACTATCCTGCGGATAGATTGGAAACCCGACTGAGTGAAACGTTTCTTAGAAACACTTTAGATACTGTCTGAATTCCTTAAATACGGTTAGAACAGTGTAGTGCTCTAGTAGTAAACATTTTTGATGTATTCTATCGGTACCGATGTTTCAGACTATAAATTCATCACATTATACAAACTGGTGCATACCTAACTATACAGCAGTATAGACTGATAAGTATCATGTGACTATTTAGTAACTCACTCTACACTTTTCATACTGAATGTAAATGAAGTGTCACGTGATTAATTATCTGATAGAAAAGTTATTAAAAATATACTCAACTTTTGGGACTCATTACTTAAAAATTAAAATATCTATCGAAAAAATACCTTCAGATATGTCATCTATAGCTCTTCCACTCGTGAAAATGATAGTTTTCCCAAATCTGAGATAGCTAAAAACGAGTGGCTAACTAAAAGGAAAAAGTTGTCATAGTACCTTCCAGTTGTGACATAAGCTACGTAGATAACTAGAGACCAACTATACTGCGCAAAGATTGGAAAGTTGACTGAGTGAAACAGTAAACAGACGGAATTAGAACATCTACAAACTCATAACAGTTTGACTATTTTTCAAGAAGAATTCCTATATCAGCTGCTTCATTATCATTGTCTAGAGTTGTCTCAAAACTATACTCATTTTGTGACACTAATTATACGATAACTAAAGCAAATATCCGAAAACTAACTTCAGATGTGTTATCTACAATTCCTACACTTTCGAATCATCTTTTTCGCAAACCTGTACGATCAGAAATAACTGAGAACGCGTTGACTCGAACGAGAAAACACAGTATGGAAAGAAAGAAAGAAGAATTTTTCTGGGTGAAAAGCAATAAGTCTCCTTGAGCTCCACTCAGTTGATTTAATTAATTTAAACCAGAAATCTCTCAGTGAAAGAATTGACTGTTTTCTCCTTTAGCAACAAAAATATGTTTCGAATTTTATTCACCTACATTTATCTTCTATAAGCGTATTATTCACATTATGATATCAGTAATTCATTATTCTATTGAAGCTTTCATCATATCAAGCGCTATAGTATAAATTCACTACGAAGGATATCGCATGACGATTAGTTATCTGAGAGGAGAAATGATACAGTTTTCTGGAAAATAGATTCATTTTGTAGCACTAATTATAGGATATTTAAAGTAAATATCCGAAAACTAATTTTAGTTGTGTCATGTACAACTCTTCTACTTTTGAATCATCTTTTTCTCAAATCTGTACGATCAGAAATAATCGAGAACGATGGATGAAAACATCGAAGAAAAAGTATAGAGAAAAAAAAAGAAGAACACGTGGCTAGAAGTGAAAAGCAATCGTTTCACTCAGTCGGCTTAATAAGTCGCTCCGAGTTTCACTCAATCGGCTTAATGAACAAGAAGAAAACAAAACTTTAAATTCTAAAACAATATCTTTTTTGCAGCTTGCACGAGTCTTTCACTTTTGCATCGGTGTCGAATCTAAGTAAAAATAAAATGCGACTCGATTCGAACTCGTTCAGCTCTATACTACATAGTGTTTCTCAATTTTGACGTTGATAGTAGCCTCAAAAAAATGTCTCATTCATTGTCAAAAAATAATCCGTGAACTACTTGTTTTATTACAGTGTATAGTAGTGTGATTGAAACTAACAATTGGATTACTTTTAAGACATAAATATAGACTGAATTTCTCTGATATATTCAAATCTATACTTAACAATAAAAATATGCCACGAATATCTGTCTGCTTCATTTTTTTCAAGGTGATTGTTAATCAAAAGCTGTTTGTTTCTTACAGGCCGTATGCACGGATGAATGCTTTCTTCTTTTTTTTTTGACTATACATATATAGTTTGTCATTAATTTTATTCCATTCGGTGAGCAACAACTAAAAACGACTTTATAATGTAATGTTCTTTCTATAATATGTAAATATTAAATAAAGTTTAAAATATATAAAATCGAGGAAGAAAAAACATACCTTTTAATGGGTTTTTTTCTTTCCTTATTTAAAATACAACTAAATCATTTTTATTTAATATCTCCGATTAAATATTTTTATAAACAGCTTAGAAAATATCAGTTTTGTTCGTCAAGAAAAAGGTAAAACTGATTCTTTCTTCTTCTTTTTTTTCTTTTATTTTTGTGAACTGTTAACTATAAAAAAAAAAACACTATTGCAAATTCCCTGTTGTGTACTATTTTAATAATCATTACAACAGTAGAATAATGTTCATTCGTTATTTTTAAAGATTGAAATAGATCAATTTATAATACATGGAATAAACAAAGATATTTATCTAGTTTAAATGTTTCTCCTCTTTCAATCTTCAAACGATTTTGTTTTTTTTGCAAAATTGTTCTTATTTTAATGATAATAAGATTCTCGAATAGAAATATTCAATTTCATAATGATAATAGAACATTGTTCTTAATCTGTCATTGACATTTATCAAAAGGAGTTTCACCTTAGTCGAAATGAATGATCAATAATGATAGACATAAATTTATTTGACATAATTTTCTATTTATTTGTTTTATTTGTTTTTTTACATACATGCCGAATGTACAAAACATCACATAAAAAGAAACAATGGAAAAGAAAAAGACGAAAATAAATAAATACCTAGATTAGTCAAACAGACAACATAAAAATAGATGACTGTATATAATAACAACAACAACAACAATAGGAGAAATACATGGAATAAGGATTATATATAGATATATTTATTGACAAATATTGACAATGAAGTTTTCTCACTCTCACTGTCTCTTTATTAATCGGTTAATTGATCTTCCATTAATCGAAATGAAAATGGAACAAACGGATAACCTTCACCTTTATAAAATTTTGATTGAAACTCAACCCTAAAATAAAATAGAATTCAAGAAATTAACTTAAATATCATGTTTAAGGGTTCCCTTCTCAGATATTATCTTCGACATCGTACATTCGATCTTGACGAAATTTTCCATAAATGTTAGACACAACGAGCTACGGGATAAATTACGGTCATACGGGAATTTTTTTGTCTCCAAGTCTTATGATTTAGGAGTTTTCCAGATATCAAGGTCCAAAAAGGACCCTAAAGTGTGTTCCAAGTTTTTTTAATATACTTCAAGTTGAAGAGTTCGGGTTTGTTCTATTTTAAACTAGACACCTAACCACATGGACTGACCGACGTCGATTTTCAATGAAGCCTTTATTGATTTTCCAGACAACCAACAACCTCCAAAACTCGAAAAATCCTTCCGGGTTTTCTAAAAATCCTCAGTTTGACAAAAAACTAGGACCTAATTCAAAAATTGACGCCGGTCAGTCCATGTAGTTTCTTTTCTTCCTTTAAACAAAAAAGGAATGAATGCTCTACGATAAATCGCTATTAAAAATCTTGGGACACACTTCAGGTATAACTTCCATGTAGAGAAAACGCTGTATAAAATGCTCAGTTTTAGAATTTCTAGGAAAATGCCTATAACTTTTTGATGCAAGATCATACAGAGTTGTGTCTTATTTTGATTAGAAACGTTTGCTCTACAAATCTGTGTATTCAAAAAAAAACTTTAATTGCATAAGTATCCAGGAAAAGACTATTATTTGAAGACCAGGTTTTTCGCGGCTCCCAGAAAACTTGCTCAAATTATGCGAAAAACTGCGGGAGCGGGATGGGAGCCTTAATTCAAACATACCAATGTAATCGAAGTGCATGAAGAAATGCTGATAAACCTTCCATTAATAATAATATAAATACAGTTAATACAGCCCATGGTATAAATACAACGTATGTAGCTACTGATCCGATAAAACCCGGCATTACTAAACCATTATATAACACCATATGCCATAATACTTCCGATAATTCTATAAAAAAAATAGATAAAACAAAAGAACGTTCATTATATTTAGCAATAAGTTCTAAATACATACGTGCATGTGCTAAAGACAATGCCCATAATCGTAGATAAGATGCTGTATGGGAAATACAGCTAAGAAAATATTCAATTGTATGAATACCTTGTTCAACCCATAATTCACTCATATCAACCTAAATTTTGAAGAGAATTTTAAAACGAAACTTGAAATTAATAATGACATTAAAAACACATTCTATTGTGTTAGTAAAGCAAGCATAAAATCAGTATAAGTAACTATCAAACATAAATAGCAGTAACATTTAAAACACAATAAATAATACATAAAAACAGAAGACACACACACACACACACATACAGAGTGTACATCACTAATAAATACTGGTGTTTTATTGTTTATTTTTATTATTTTTTCTTCTTCAAAGCGATGGAAATGAAAAGTGATGATGGCAAATAAAACAAGAAAGAGTGTTCGACGTGGATTAACAAATTACACGAATGATCAAACTTTTAAGGTGTATATAAATAATAGCACAACAAATAACTAAACAATAAATGTTTCTCTACCTCTTTCTCATATGTCACATCATCATCCAACATGGTTTCTGCACTGTCTGCATCACGCATATCAATATCCAATACTACACCTCGCTATAAAAATATTTTTTAATCAAAAATTCATCAAGAAAAAACTAAAACCTAAAAAATGAATAATTTTTTCAACGAAAAAAAACCAAAACAAAAAACAAAACAATTTCTATCATTTTATTCTACAATTGTTTTGTATTATTCAAATTAAGATTAGTCATATCTATGAGCGTTTTTAACATGCAAAATGAGGCATTATTAATCTTGTTTTTTTATTGTTATTTTTCTTCAAAAGTACCTTTGATATATTCAGATACATATTTTTGATATATTCAGATGTTGTCTAAGAGAAAAATAATACCAGAAGAGAATGGACTGTTTGTGCTGAAAAAATAAATTTCAAAAAGTAGCAAAGGCTTTCTTATTTCTTAATTTCTTCTATTTTATGAAAGATTTAATTTTCTAAGTGTATTAGTAAAATTAATTAATTATTTCTAGAAATTAGAAATATAAGGTTACTATTTGTCTCAAAGATAAAAAGTATAGATTACGAACTAAATAAAAAATAATAGTACGTTTACTTCATATATTTTTACAAAGATCTAATTAACTGATTAAGAATAGAGATTTTCTATTCATCAATTAACTGACTCACTTAGAAAAAAGTGAATTAACAAAAAAATTATTAAGAGATTTTTTATTTATTTTTTCATCGAACTCCAGTCATCATTTGACAGAACTTCTATTCAAATCTGTTTCTTTCTGATCATGTTTGATGGTTTAGCATTAATCGAAAAAATATCTGAGATTATTAAGCAATCTAAAATAACTAAAATGATGAGATTATTTTTTTATCACAAATTTCAAAAGAAAAAAGAGATACACTAGCAATCCAGCCAATTAGTATGAAGATTCAAACAGACTATGATAATAATAAAATCTATTTTAGAAAAGCGTTATCTGTACGTTGTACGATAACATAAAATGAGAAATGAAAGCAATATAATTATTTAGAAGAATTATTCATTAATAAATGAAAAAATGGACAAGTTAGTTAGATAATCGGAGAGAGCATATACACACTCGTCTATTTATAAGAAACAACTACCTTTTGGTCACGAGATGAATGTATATCATTTATTTTAATTTGATCCTCAGAATTATTTCTTCTATTCTCAATAGAATTTCTATTATAATGCCGATGATGATCATCATCATCATCATTATTATTATTGTTTGAAGAATGATGATTATTTCGAAAATGTTCATCGTACTGTAAGTGTAAGTGACATAATAAAATAGATATTTGAATCTTTATATGTATGGAAATACGTACAGTCGTTCGACGTTTATTCATTACTATTGTGTAGATTGGTCTACCGAATAACATTGCAGGAATACACAATAGAGCAATGATTAATAACATCGATTGAATTACTTGCTAAAACGAGAAAGAGAGAGAAAAACGAGAGATTAAAAGATAAATGTTATTTTTTAGTAGTGCTCCTTCTCGGAAAGAACGTACTACATCAATAATAAAAGTTAAATAGAACGTAAAGCAATATTCGTACTTGTCCGGTATAAAATACTTTTGAACTTATTGGCACTGCATCCTCTGTTGGATAAGTCATCAATATCATATTGATTAGATCTAAAATAAGATCAATAGTCAATAAGTTAATTGACATAAGAATCCGGGTGAGTTGTCTGTATCAGGGCTCCGAATGGGCCAGGAAAAATTGGTCCATGGGCTATCTCGCCCTTTATCGGCCTAGCCCATGGCTTTTAGTTCATAAACTTTCCAGCTCAGTCCGATCCATGGGCCGGACTGGATGGCCTATGGGCGACTCATCTAATAAAAGTTTTTTCGCGAACACAGCCTCATTTACCAGCTGATCAAGGCTGCTTGTCATTTACTCTTCTATTCCATAAGGATCAATGACAGAGCAGAATAAGACACTTTAAAAGAGTAA